TCAATTAATATGCTTTTTATGAAATAATCGTACTCAGTAATTTAATAAGTATACATAGTGTATTCATATTAAGTATAACAATAATATTAAACCAATATCCCAATGTACAAACTTAAAGTTTCCATTCAACATGGCATGTTAAAAATATTATAACAATTTGTTCCATATATATTTACATTCAACCAACAATATCTAACCTGAAGGTTTATCAACATTGATAAATGACAATACATAATCACACCATTCTTTACAGACTTCATCTAGCTCCTTTTTCGTGAAGCTTTTTTTACCCGCTCACTAAAAAAAAAATCATAAGTAAATGTTAAGAAATGAGAACATAATGTACAATTTTATTTTTTTGAATTATATAACGAGTTTATGAAATTTATTACTAACCTTGAAATGGATGGTGGTTGGAAAATCATGTAACACTATCTCCCGCATAAAATGAATGACATAATATCCACATTCAGTATTACCGAGTTGATAAGGTACCTAAAAATTAAATTGAGTCGGTTTAAAAAATATTTATTTGCACAAACTCAGCATTAAAAGAATAAATTTGATATTTACTGGTAATAACACCCATTTTGATTTCTTTATCTTCTTATTGAATGCAGATATTACCCTAAATTGAAAAGAAAAAAAATTAATGGGGACAAAAATAAAATTTCTTATGAAGAAACAAAACATATATAATATAATAAAGTACTGTAATGCCTCTTTATAAAAGTTTGAATATCGGGGTTAGGCATCACCATTGGATGAACTGAATTAAGAAAGTATGGCGTTAAGGATTTGGTGTTAATCACAATAAGCATCCAATGACGATTGCAAAATAATAACAATGATATACTCAAAATACGCATCAGATCATAGAATGGAGTAGGTTGGAGTAATTAAGGTTGGAATATAGCTTACTGCGCATTATACGAGAGCAAATAATAATCAACCGGTCTTTTCATGCATAGGATCACATGATTAGCATGATACATGACTGTGCCACTCTACTCACTAATGAAGTTGGAATCAATGAATCTAAATATGTTCGTCAACTGTTGCCCCTTTCAGCTCTTTATATAGGAAGTTACACAATAACAATCAACACTTTTGGTTAGTATTACACCCTAATACTAACTTACTACATATTGAATGTGCATATTTGTATTTATAAGCTAACCTCATATAAGTAACGATTTCAGCAACTGATAATTCTTCCATTTCACAAAATTCTTTCACCTCATCCACACCAATGAAAAAAAAATAATTATTTATCAAATAAGTCTTCCTTAAACTCAATGCATACGAAGTTTTCGTCGATACAATTCTCCAGTGAATATTTTGTTAACTCATCCATGGAAGCCTGGGCAAGGTTTAGACTTTGAGTCTGAACATCTTTTTATAATATTTAATGAAATATAAGTATTAAAACCAAATCAATCAATATAATAAACAAATTAATATTCAAATTATAAACAATATCATACTTCTTGGGTGGTAGTGGATGATGGGATGGCTTTCTTACTTGCAACGGAAGCTTCTTGTATGGGGACGATGCTATCAGGTTGGGGTACTGGCATAACCTGCTGCATTGCTGCCAACATAGACTCCAAAACAACGAGTTTTTGTTGTTGGTCATTGAAGCATTGCTCCTGGTCATTAATTTGTTGCTGTTGTTGCTCATTATTGCTTCATATTGTGCATTTCTAATTCGTGGGGTTTTTGGTTGTTTACCAAAATACATTGATGGCAAGACAAATTTACCAATCCCACGAACTCGACCAAGCTTTTCTTTAGCGCCTAATGCTAAAAACAAAGGATCTTCACCATACTGGGTTACCAGTTCACTAGATTTTACTTTGACAACATAATTATCCTGAAAGATA